TTAAAATTTTTTCAGTCAACTTTAATTTCTAATATGGAAAATACCAATACATACAATGTTTGAGGTGCTCAATAGTTACTATGACTGTAAAGAGGGCCCTTATATCACAAAGTTTGAAAACAACTTAAAATGGAGTATCATGAAGGCATTAAATTCCTACTCTGAAAACTCTAACTTTCAAACATATGAACACTTGATTTGTCCCATGGGATGGAGATCAACAACAATAAATTATTAACTCACATTGAATCAAGTAAAAGTTCCTATGTCTGAAGTTCATTGCTCTGCACATTATCAATGCATGGTAAATAATGAATCTACCGTTTATATTCATTGTGATTATTAGGGACTGTCTTCTTGCAGAGTTAAAGCATAATAGAGAATGGATCTGCCTTAGGGTGTCAAAGCATACACCATCTTTTAAACCAACCAGCTTATGTTTGAAACAAGAGGGCTGAAATTTAAATTAACCATCTAATGTTATTCAATTTGTGTTCTAGCTTGTTGGTGAAACTGTTTTATGTCTCCCACGCTGGCACTTTTTGACTCCACATTTTATAGCTGGCCGCTGTTGTTGTAGAGGAGCTCTGGTGGTGCTGCTAATCAAAAGGTTGGTGGTTCAAAACCACTAGCTGTTCCTCGGAGAAAGAGGAGGCAATCTACTTCCTCAAAGATTTACAGCCTTGGAAACCCAATACGGCAATTCTCCCTGTCCTAAAAGGTCACTATGAGTTGGAATCAACGGCAGTGTTGTTGTTGGGTGCTGTGGAGTTGATTTCAACTCATAGTGACACTACGTGATGAGTAGAACACCCCATAGCATTTGTGATGCTGTAATCTTTATAAGAGCAGATCACCAGGTCTTTCTCCTGGTGAAGCCACTGAGTGGGTTCAAACCACCAACCTTTCTGTCAGCAGCCACGCTCTTAACTGCTGCACCACTAGGACTCAGAAAACAAGTTGAGTTAAATGCAAAGGTTTTGGATATATCTATGGGGACACAGAATAATTCAATCAATGTCAATCAGTGAGGGTAACCTGAAGTAGGTCAAATAAAAGAGGTAGGATGAGGTGGTGGTTAAAGCTCACCAACGATAACTTAATAGAAAGCCAGGTACTGACACACACACACACACACACACACACATATATCCATATATCTCTATCTCTATCTCTATATAATCTATATCTATATCTATATCTATATGAAACCAGAAAAACCAAACTCACTGCCGTTGAGTCGGATCTGACTCATAGCGACCCCTCCTTGGGTTTCCAAGGTGGTATTTCTATGGAAGTAGAATTCCCAACCTTCCTTCTGAGGAGTGGCTGGTGGGTTTGAACTGCCAGCCTTCTGGTCAGCAGTCAAATTCTTAGGCACTATGCTACCAAAGCTCCTATACATATACATACATACATACATACGTATATACACACACACACACACACACATATACATGCACACATACAGAGAAAGAGAGAGTCAGGTGAAAGTTTGTAGAACAAATTCATTTTCCATACAGCAGTTCATACATATTTTGCAATCTCCATAATGCAACAGTTCTCTTCTCACTCCCTGTTAATCTTTCCCCTGTGTCCTTCTTTCCTATGCATTCCTGCTCCCTATCTCTCTGTACAAATACTGCCCTTCTGATCACCCATGATTGATTGTTCTAAGGAGTGTACCTACCTGGTCTAAATGTTCACCTTGTATGCCCGTCTATTGTTGGGATGGAAACCACGGCAGTGAGTTCAGTTCCAGGCCTGAAGGGTGACTAGGGGCTATAGTCTTGAGGCTTTCACCAGGCTCCCTCAGATAGATTTTATATACCCACAATGTAACAGACACTGTGCTAGGCACACTATTACAATAATTGAACATGCTTAATCATCATAACAATTGTGGAACAGGCATTTTCACCATTTCTGAAGTAGGAATCAAAGGTTTCCCAAGCTGAAACAGGCTTCCAGGATCACAAAGGATTTGAATTTAGGATCTTTTGGTCTGGATCCCCTCTCTGAGAAACGGAATCAGAAGAAGGAAATTCTCTGCTTCCAAGAAGCTTTTTCCATATGGCTTTAAATTTTGCTATAACCTCGTCTGTATTCTCCTGGGAGGAAAAGACCAATGCTTGGATGTGCATTATATTCATCCATTCACGGGATCATTTTACATTTGCTTTATGGGCCATGAATTAGAAGTGCAAAGGAAGAAACAACAAATATATTTTTTGCTTAATAAAGAAACCAGTTTTACTAAATATTCTCCTTGCTTGTACTATTGGCATAGTAGCAGTTAAATGCTACGAACCAGTAACTGGCCTACTCCTGCATTAAATATAATATTCATAGACATATTGAGCTGGAAGGTTAAGTGTTCCCTTGAGCGCACAACCCACAATTTCCACCCTATCCCTAAAGAAGTACAGCTGGAATGCTCTGCAGATGCGAGAATGGCCACACTTCATCACTGGTACTTTGGTCCTGTTATTAGAAGGGACCATCCCCGGAGAAAGATACGATGCTTGGTAGAGGGCCAGTGTAAAAGGGGAAGGCCCTCAACAAAATGGATTGACACAGTGGCTACAACGATAGGCTCAATGTAGCAAGGACTGTGAGGATGGTGCAGGATAGTGCAGTGTTTTGTTCTGTTGTTCACAGGGTACCTAGGAGTTGGAAGTTAGTCGATGGCACCTAACAGCAACAACGTCCCTCAATCAGTTTATTCCACTTTAAATGTAAGAATGTTGTTGTCGTTGGGCATCATAGAGTTATTTCAAGGAATAATGAAACCAGGTGACAGAGTAGAATTGCCCCATAGGGCTTTCCAGGCTGTCACTTTATGGAAATGGATCACCAGGTCTTTCCTCCACAAAACCACTGGGTAGGTTTGAACCACCAATCTTTTAGGTTAGGAGCCAAGTATTAAACCACTGTTCTACCACGGAAATAGATGTTAAATGCTATATTTTATCATTTAGCGTTAAAATCTACCATAAAAATAAAACCAGGAAGCTTCAGTCTGATTAAGTGGGATGAAATTGAGCTTGGAAATTTAATCCTAGAGCCACCTAGGCAAGGTTCAAACAAAGGCTGAAACCCTGAAGGTTTGTTGGGGGAAATGAGTAAGTGGGTCTCCCAGGAGTGGTGTGAAGTCATCAGGCCAAGGTAATGCTTCCCAGGGGTGTATGAGGGAGGGAGGGAGCAGGGGGGAGGGGGAGGGGAGCGGAAAAACATGTGAAAATGCAGGTACTTTGCAGGTTGGCCTCTGGGGACTGGGTTGGCGGACTACCTGGCATTGCCTTAAAATTCTTGACCCCTGTTCACATCCCCCAGACACCACACCCTTCACGGGGTGCTGCCATTGCTCCTAGTTTCCTCAGTTTTTCTGTTTGGACTTGTTCATTATTGCTCAATAATAAAGAGCAAGAACCCAGTTTTCAAAGCCTGGCCGAGTCCAAAAGTAATCATCACCTCAGAGGGACCTTGGAAGGGAAAGGGTGTGGGGAGAGAAGAAATCAGTTTCACCCTCTATTCATTTCAGTACAATCTCCGAAAATCTGGCCTGGTAGCTAATTTGTAAACTCACTCTCATTTTTTCCTAAACAGTGCCACCTACTGGCCATTTTAAGTCACCAGGCGGTTGATGGCAAGAACCAGAGAAAGTTTGGGAAGGGGAGGAGAGAATAACCAAGAACCACATTAACTCTTTCCAGCTTTGGGTCACTGAAAGAAAGATGAGAAAAGATCATCAAAGCAAGAGCAAATATTTTGAGTTGTTATCTTCATAAAAGACTTGCAAAAAACCAAAGCCACTTCAGCTATTTCCTTAGAGATGGCTGTATTTTTTAAGCTTGATGTTTCAAGCTCTCCAGAGGTCAATTTTCATTTTATTTTCAATGGGCAGTGTTTGCGTATTCTTACTTTAGGGGACCAGGTAGGGCACAAAGATGCAATTACGTTTCTAATTTTTCAGCCCACCCAAATCGGAAGTGGGCCTCTTGGCACTTGACTTGGCTCAGACTCTTCAGATTTGGTGGGAAGAAAGGGTTAACAAGTGATAGACCAGTCACTGTCTTTTTAGAGTCCCTGCTAGTTTTAGGAGCTTTCTGTATGGGGTTATCCGATGAGCAAGGTAAGCACGGGCTTCCTGTGCTTACTAATCTGTAGTGAACAATTTCACATTTTTTCACCACATCAAAGATTCTGCTGCTGGGGATGGCTGGCATCTGCCTCTCCCAAGCCCACAGCACCCTCCTGCAGAATCAATGCCGCTTTTCAAATTGACAATCCCTAACAAGGATGGAGCCCCAGGTAAGCAAGGAAAGCATTGGCTAACCTGTGCTTACTTACTGATCTGTAGTGATGAGTTTCACATGGGATCTCGTGAAAAATGTGAAATTTTTACTACAGATTAGAAAAGAAGCACAATAAGCCTGTGCTTAGCTTGCTTATTTGCTAATCCGCCCCTGCTTCAGGTACACACACACACACACACACACACACACACACCCCTCACTGCTAGTCCTTCTTAGAACCGTCATTTCGCCCAATGGCACCATTTGGCCTTAAAGCAAATTATTAAGCAAGACAGGGAGTTTATGGCGACAATAGGATCCCTCTAACTCAGGCAGGAGTTCATGGATTTGTAAAATGCGTGCCCTCCCGCCTCAGCTGCTGAAGAAGAGGGAATCAAGGGGTGGCCGGCATGTGTGCACTGCGTTTTTCTGCACACGTTAGCAATCAAGTTAACGGAATTCATTGGAGTTTCGAACCGGCCTCCAGCTCAGCGAGGACTTGGAATGGCCAAGGTCTCCCTCTCCCTCTCCCCTCCCCGCCTCCTTCTCGCCCCACTCCCAGTGCCCTCCCCTCCCGGCGCCCCAGTCCGCACCTCCCTTCTCCACTCCCCTCACCCCCCCCACTCCCTCCTCCGCCCTATTAAAACACCCACCAACCCCTTAAGTTGGAGGAGGCAGAAAGGCTACAACAGCGGGGAAGGAGAAGTCAAGACGTCTGGAAAGAATTACCCAGTCCCGGCTGCGAGCAGCCCATTGAACCAGGGAGTTGAAGCAGCCCCGGCCCAAGACTGTCCCCGATGCTGCCTGGGTTCTGCTGAGTGTTCACCCGGCTTTTTGGGAGATCGGAAAAAGGACTTTCCGATCTCGGGGGCGGGGGACTGGAGAGCCAGGAAAAGGAAGGGAAGAAAAAAGAGAAGAAAAGAAAAAAGCAAGAAAGAAGAAAAAAGAGAAAGAAAAAGAAAAAGAAAAAAAGGCTGAAGTGTAACGGAAATAGTAAAGAAAATCACTATGAAATTTCCCTGAAAAGTGGGAAGAACCAAAACTGTTAAGGCTTCCTCATCCTTTTTAAATGTTGTTTTTAAATTTTTTATTCTTTTTGGCCGGTCGTCTCAAATTCATCTGATCTCTTATTACCTCAATTTTGGAAACTGCCCGCCACCGACCCTCTGGGACCACACAGATAGATTGAGGACGACTTTATGACCAAAAGCTGAACAAGGTACGTTATGCTGGCGCGTTTGGTGAACGATGAGGGTCCTCAAACAGACGAGGGAGAGGGAAGAAGTCATCTATGTACTTAAAAAAAAAAATCCATTTCGACAGAAAAAGTTTGAGGTCTGCAAATTTGCAAGAGACTGAAACCCAGGGGCTATTTGAGCTCGCTTGCAGAGTTAGCAGCACATCCCTGTCCGTCCCCCTTCCTGCAGCGCTCCTCAGAAACCCGCCGCCTCTGGGCACACAGGTAACCTCCCTGCCCAGCAAGACCGCACGTCCCGGGATGTACTTTTCCATTCCGCATCTTTGGGAGCCACAGAGGGGCTCCGGAGTTAGGAAGCAGTCATTTCTAGCGTGGAAGGAAAAGGCATTCCGCACGGCCGCCCTTCCCTTCCCTTCGCATCCTTCCCTTCCTTTTTTCACACCCTACGTGGGGAACTCTGGCACAGCCCAGCGCGCTGTGCTTTTAAGTGGGAAGTCCGCTTCTTATTTGGAATGCAAAGGGTTAAGTGACTTCAGCTCCCAGCTCCGACGCACCGGGACCCCCGAGAAGGAGGGCCCTCGCCACCTCCCCTCCGCTACCGGCCGCGCTCAGCCACTCCCCCCTCTTTTCCGGGCCTCCCCTGGTCTGCACCCCCCACTCCCATTAAAATGTCAGGCTGAGTCTCTGGGCTCTGGCGGCTCCGGAAGCCTGACTCCGGCCGGGGGTGCTTGACGCTGGCGGTGGTACTGGCCGGCGGAGCGGGAAGAAGGCGCGCGTCCCTCCTCTTGGCGCCCGGGGAGCGGGCTGCGTGGGGACCGCGCGCCCTGCGCGCCTGCAGCTGCAGCGTCCCAGGAGCCAATTCCGACGTGGCACGGAGCACGCCGGCGCAGCTTGCTGCAGCTGCAGGCGCGGGCACGGCCGCGCGGGGGTCCCGGGGTGCCGCATCAGCGCGCCGCTCTAGGCACCGGGGGGCGCGGCACCCGAGCGGAGGTGGGCGGCGAGCCAGAGGCTGGGTTGGGATGGATGATCACCACCTTGGGCGGACTTCGTCATGCGGGTTCCCGCCCAGCGGGAACGAGGGCTCCGAAATGGGTCCTTGTGAACCGGAGGGCGGGTCTGAAAGGAGGGTCTGTGTGAGGGCGAGAGCTGGGGGGAGCGCGAGAGGCTTTCTCCTCCGGCCAAGAGAACAGCCGACGGGAAACGGCGCTGAAAGCATGATTAAGGCTACAAAGAGGGGCTGAGAAAGTCGAGGAAAGCTTGCGGAGCAGGGCTCGTAAGACCCAGGTCCTGTTACACAGTCCGAAGTGCCAGCTTCCCCCAGCCCCCAAACGTCCGGCCTGAGTATTTGGACTCGCGGACACCGCGCGCCCCGGGGCGAGCCAGCTGCAACAGGCCCCGCCTGTCCAGCTCCCCACCCTCTGGGGCGGATGCTGCCAAACGTGTCTCACTAGCGGTTGCCCAGAAACTCTACACTCCTCTAACCCACGTGGATGGGCTGGGATTGCCTGTGACGTCACACCCTGGGGGGAGGTGTGACGCAATAGATCGAAAAGCCCTGATTGGCCACCAAGGGCTTCCCCGAGCTGGCGGCCAGAGTCTATATAGACTTTCAGTTTAGTGTTGGACGAAAGCGAGGGCAGTCCTAGTGGGGCTTCCCTGTGGAGAGGAGCCGGAACCACGTCAGTGCGCGATGTAGATTCCAAGGCTCCTTCAGACTTTTCCTTGCAGCCAGCACATATGATAATGTGTCTTTGGAGGAGATAAACAGTATTATAGGAACCCTGGTGGCGCAGTAGTTGTGCACTCGGCTGTTAACCGAAAGGTCGACGGTTCCCATCAGCTGCTCTGCCAGAAAAAGAAAAATAGAGCAGTCTGCTTCCGTAAAAATAATAGCCACGGGATCCTATGGGGCAGTTCTACTCTGTCCTACAGGGTCCCTGTGAATTGGCATCGCTGGGCTGCAAGGAGTAAACCAGAAAATCATTTTTTAAAAGGTCATTTTAAGAATGAAGGTTTTAAAGGTTAACCCATATTCAAATATTTGCCAATGATGCTACATTTAAAATTAAACAATACTGTTATATAGAATGGGCTAGAACGATTTTATGTGCCTCTACAGCTGTTTGAGGCGCTCTGGTGGAACAGTGGTTAAAGAATTCAGCTGCTAAAAGGTCAGCAGCTGGAACCCACCAGCCACTCACAGGAGAAAGATGAGGCCATCTGCTTCTTGGAAACCCTATGGGGGAAGTTCTATTCTGTTGTATAGAGTCACTATGAGTCAGAATCACTCTATGCCAGTGGGTTATTCTTTTTTTCTTATTAATGCATTATGAGTTGGGAGTATATACAAAAATGTATTGTAGATGTATTGGCAAATACATGTTACCCGAGTTACTTGTATTGTAGCTGGACTTCCTACTTTACCAAAGAAAAGCAAGCAACTTATAAAATATTCAGACTTCATGAATTGGTGATTGGTGTCAGATTTGAAAGACACTCTCCAAAAAGCAAAGACAGTATACAGTCAGCTACCTTCCTGGGAAACCAGAGCTGTGCAACAAGTGAATAAAAAGTTACTAGAAAGTAAGATAGCGTGGAGCTAATTATTTTCCTTGGGTCTCTATCACCTCACAACACTGAATCCTAAAGTATTTTTTCACACCTGATTTCCTTATCAGCTAATATTTAAAAAAAAAAATTCACTTGCAGTTTTAAACACAGGCTTTATGCTTTTCCCACATTCCTTTACTGTCTATTATTGTCATTTTGGGGAATAAATACTTTTGTCTGCAGATCAAGATGGAGATCCCCTTTAGCAAAGTCATATTCTACAGTTACATTTTTAACCTAAGAACAAGGAGTTTTGTTCCATTATTAGGCTCCCGGCTCTTGCAGTAAGCAGGAGTGATGAGCTAGTGTAATAGGAGAACGGAGTGTGGACACCATGGTCTCTCTCTGAATTCTCCTTTTCATACCCAGGCTGTGGTCCTCTAAGAGGCTGCAAGGACAGAGCTGGTGGCAGCTGGTGTGGCAGCTGAGTGGGGGACAGCATTCTGCTGAAAACTTATTTCCATCACGCCAACTTGGCTTTAACCCTTTCCTCTCTAGCCGTGATCTGCGTATACCCTCAATTAATCAAGCTTTGAATGTCAACTCTTTGGAATTTGTGTATATATAGTTATTAGTTGGTGTCAAGTTGTTTCTGACTCATGGCAATCCTTTGTATGCAGAGTAGATATGCTCCAGTAGGTTTTCAAGGCAGTGACCTTTCTGGATGGGTTCAAATTGCCAACCTTCAGGCTAGTGTTGAGTGCTTAACCATTTGTACCACCCAAGGACCATTCACACACACACACACACACACATACAGACACACACACATACATATATGCGTATGTATGTATGTGTGTGTGTGTATATATACACAGGGATATATATACACACTCACACATAAATACATATACACATATATACATATACATATAAATGTATGTGTATATATGTATATACATATAACTACATGTGTAGAAACATATATATACATACATATATTTGTCCACAGTCTAGAAAAATATTACTCATCTATTAATCAATTAGATAATCAATATCACACTGTTAAATCTTTTATTAAATCAATAAATTTAAATTAAATAAATACTTATTAATAAATACTTCTTAAGTACATGCATCGATACCAAAGATTCTTCAAAAGTGAACAAAGTGTAATTCACATCTTCATGGAAATCATCAAACAAAAAGTATACTCAAAGGAGCTTTTAAATAGCTACACTGTAAGTCAAAATATCACCCAGTCCATAGGAAAAATAAAGGAATAGCTATTGTTTATCATGTACTTAATAGGTGATACACACTTGACATATATTGTTATTTATTCCTAATCTGCACCTAAAATTTTATTAATAAACATTGCCTCAGAAAGGTTAAACAACATACTCAAAGTCGCAGTGTTAGTAAGGAGGGAGAAGGAATTCCATCTAAGATTTCTTGAGTGTAATACACCTGAGCTGGGCTTGGCTATATCTGGATTAGCCGAGCTTTATGGAAGCTCAAAGTGAAAGATCACATCTGACCGAGGCTGGTCAGGGAAGACTTAAAAGAAGTGCCACATATGGCTACATATGGTTTGGACCCACAGACATAGTACCCGAGAGCCAATGTCGGTGCATATACAGCAAAGAGCCCATGCCAAATCATTCTGTAATTTTTCACACTGTGAAGTAAGTTTGTTGTTAGGTGCTGTCACTTGCTCCAACCCATAGTGACTCTATGTACAACAGAAGGAAACACTGCCCGCTCCTGCGCTAGCCTCACGATCCTTAGGATGGTGAAGCTCAGGAACTAATAGGGCAGTTGGGAGAACTGACATGTTAGGAGCAATTGATTAATACTGATGTAAAGGAAGAGAAACGAGAATATGAAGCTCTGGACCCAGACACTTGTTATGTGCTGTCGAGTTGGATCCGACTCATAGTGACCCCTCCTTGGGTTTCCGAGACAGTATCACTACGGAAGTAGATTGCCCAACCTTCCTTCTGAGGAGTGTCTGGTGGGTTTGAACCGCCAGCCTTCTTCTGGTTAGCAGTCAAGTGCCTTAGGTACTACGCTACCAGAGCTCCCGGACCCAGACACAGCTGGGTCATATTCTAACCCTGCAAGCTTGGCTCCAGGGTCTCTACGAGGATAACTTCAGTGGGAATGGAAGAAAAAATGAACCTCACGGTCAGACAGGGAGAAGAGAGGAGGGAGAGGGCCTTTGAGCCTTCCCGCTCTCTGTCCCATAAGGTAATATGCTATAATGTGAGGAGTATGGGGGGATTTATCTGGGTACTTCTGCCTCTTATTTCTACTTGGGAACAGAGTGGCAGGGGAAGCAGCCATAAGGGATGTGTATCAATGCAAACGAGGTCATGAAAATCTTCTTTGACTTTAAGCCAGTGGTTTCCAAACTTCATTGCACATTAGAATCACCCGAGTAGCTTAAAAAAAATGACAGCAGAGAG